CTCGTGCAACTTCCGAGTTCCAACTCCCACACGTCCAGATTACCCCTCCAGCTTTTATCTCTCTCTTTTTTCTTCCCTCGCTTTCCTCCCTCCCCTCATCCTCTTCTTAAGGCCGATTCCTTATTCTTTATCTCATCTCAAGAGTCTGCTACTGCACTCACGATGTCGGACTCTCAGGATCCTTCAGATACTGGCAAAGAGCTTCCTTTTCGCCCAGCTGCATCTAAAGCCATCAACGATCCTCAGCGGACGGACCAGTTACCAAAAACAGCGGAAGATAAACCAGACTCGGCCCCTAACAGTCCTAAATCCCAGTCACTCGAAGAGTTGCCCATTGAGTTTGACCAGGCCAAGAAGAAAAAGAAGAAGAGCAAGACGCGCCCCAAAAGCAAGCGTGGAAAGGTGAGAATGCTAACTGATGCAACGACCTGCAGCCAGACTAAGGTCTACAGAACAGGCCAACCGGCTTCGAAGAGTACTACGTCGACGCGCCCATTACCCCCGAGGAATTTAGCGCTGAGAAGGAGCTCTACAATGTGTATGTCCCCAAACTTCCATGTTTAGCACCTGCTAACCGCAATATGCGTGAAGCTCGCGACCTCTCACCCAGTAAGTCTTGCCACCCCTTGGATTCGGCTCTCATCTGACTAGTCCAAGCCGAATTGAGGATGCCCTTCTACGCTACCAAAAGAATCGGCGTCTGGAGTCAGACAGAAGAGATGTTTTTCTGAAATATCTGGCATATGGCGGGGTGAACGTTGGTCAGAGAATGTTCGGGGGTCTGGACGGCCGTGACCTCCAGCAACTGGACAGCAAACAGATCTTACAGGCGCGAGCAATGACCAGTGTAGGCAAGGACAGATCTAATCTTACCGTGGATTTTGATGCAGTCGTTCGCGGCTTTCTGTACGAGTTATACACGCCTTGAAACTACGTTTGACTGACTCCTAATAGGACTTCCTTCTTTCCATACTATTTCAATCCGGAAACTGAAGATATGATTAAGCTGGCGACAGTCACCATCCGCAACTTTCTCTCCTACCTCCTCTACCACGATGTATGCCCGGAGTACAACGATAACATCGACCAGGCTAGGATATCGTGCGATATAGCTACGAGGGAGCTGTGGAACAACCACCAACTCATGGCCAAAGGCCCTGGTGACTTCAACTCGTGTTGCTTCTTGCTTTTCGGCGGAGAGCTCCATGACACATATGTGGAGGACAATCAATGGAAAAACTCCAAGGACGATGCGCCTCGCCTGACGACTGAAACAGCCCGCAAAATCGTCAAATTCGCCCTCGCCGGCGCGGGAGAAAATCGTCATGCCCTCCGGTTCCAGGAACTGACCGAGAATGATACGCTGTGCGCAGTGCGTATTGAGGATATTGATGGGTTTGAAATTACCGCTGTTCATCCTCCCGGAGAAGACGTCCGCGAGTTTTACCAGACGCTTGCTCCGGATCTTGTTCCCGTCGGAAAGCTGCTAGCAAGGGCTTACCGAGATCCAGGTATGCCTGATTTCGACCTCAGCCCGGAGGAGCAAGTGGCACAGCAGCCGGAAAAGAACTTTGAATTCTTCATGGAGGACAACATACTTCAGTACTGCTACCCGGGAATGAAGGTAATCACTCCGGTATGGGAGCTGAACTGTGGATTCCATTATTTCGAGGATGCGTATAGAACGTATGGTTCCAACTACACCCCACTCGTAAATGACTTGATGCTTGGATGGAAGGAGCCGAGAGATTTAGCCAAAGCAGAGAGTGATGGAGAGGATGACTCGTCTGTTACTCTGTGAGCATCGCCAGAGCAGGCCTGTCCGCGGAAGCTCAATTCTTAGGATTCTAACAGCTACTATCATATTCTCATCTTAGTCACGGCTCATTTCCAGATAGTCAAAACAAATTGATTTCTATTGGAACATATATTCATAGCAGCTGCACCAGCTCAAGGCTTCAGCATCGACTTGCCGGTGGTCTTTCTACCCTCCAGATCGGTGTGAGCCTGGGCAACCTCCTCCAAGGGGTACACCTTGTGAACCTTGGCCTTGAGCTTGTTAGACAGGAGAAGCGAGAACAGCTCATTGACGTAGAACTCGAACTCCTCGCGGGTCTCAATGTAGCCGAAGAGCTGAGGCCGAGCGACCTTGACACACTTGGGGGAGAGTTTCCTATAAAGCCATCAGCATCGCACCTCACACCACCAACCAGAGTAGGAATCAACTTACTGCAAAGGCAAAGGCGGCACCGGACCACTAGCATTGCCAAACCAAACAATAGTACCCTTGCGCTTGACGCTCTCCAAGCTTCCCTCCCAAGTATCCTTGCCAACCGAATCAAAAACAACGTCAACGCCCTTACCACCCGTAATCTCCTTCACCTGCTTCACCCAGTCCTTGCCTTCCTCACTGCGGTAATCAATCACCACATCAGCACCCAGGCTCTTCGCCAGCTGGCACTTCTCAGGACCACCAGCCGTTCCGATGACCTTCGCGCCGATGGACTTCAGCACCTGCGTCATCAGGGTACCCGCCCCGCCAGCCGCAGCATGCACCAACACCCACTCATCCTTCTGCACGGGATACGTCTCCTTCGCCAACGTGAGAACCGTCAATCCACTCAGGAATGACGCCATCAGGTTCTCATCCGTGATCCCCTCGGGGATCTTGATCGTCTTGGCCATCGGCACCGCCGTGTACTCGGCATATCCGCCAGTGCTGAGCCAGGCCACCCGATCTCCGACCTGGAAATTGTAGGGGTTGGGGCCGTCACCCAATGCGACGATGGTACCGGCGCCCTCGCGACCCAGGATCTCGGGCTTCGCGGAGGGGTAGAGGCCTGTGCGGAAGTACGTGTCGATGTAGTTGATGCCGGAGATGTTGTTCTTCACGAGGACTTGGCCTTCCTTAGGCGTGGGGACGGGATGGTCGGACTTGAACTCGAGAACCTCGGGGCCGCCGAGCTTCTCGACCAGGACGGCCTTCATGGTTTGAGGGACGGACATGGTGGTGAGGGTGCGGATGGGGGATGCGATGGTGGGGTGGAGGTGGGAGTTGATTGCGGAGAGTCGTTGGATCGCTGGGGAAGACAGGGTTGATGTAGTAGTGGTGGTGGTGGTGATGGATGGAATAGAGGATCGGATAAGACGAGGAAAGACGCGATGGAGGGGCATTGGATAATCGGGGGTATTTCTAGTTGCGCGATGAGGGGTGGGACAGCAGGTGGGTTAAGTATATCCGGATAGTCGGGTGGGGGAAGGTGGAAGTTCTTCCCCCGGCTACGATTGACGGAGCTCGACGGTCTTGCTGGTTGGTTTTTGCCGAAAGTGGACCGCGACTTGAGGCAGTCGATTCCCGTCATTTGAAGCTTGATTTTCTGCGCTTCTTCCCCGCAGTTCTTCATTATTCTGCGTTGCGCTTGCGGATATTGGGTCAGGATGTCCGATGCGTCTCCGCACTGTATCACCGGGATCTGAAGCAGACCTTTCGGTCGGTATTTTCTACTGCGCTCATTGGTATTCGCTGTTTCAGCTATTCAGCGACTTCTTTCCTACTCTCTGGCAATAATTCCAGAGTCCATAGAATGACCACCTCTGCATCCGACGGAGTGACGCCATCGGCTGCAAGTCCGAACCGTCGGGAATATAGCTGACAAATGCCGGCTTCCTGCCGACGGACCGTGCTGTACACAGCTGAGTCAGCTTTGCATAGCGATATTATTCCTTGATGCATAAATTCCCGATCGGGACATATACTCGTGCTTCTCCAGAAACATTCCGGATTGTCTTCATCCTCCATCCATTGGGCCTTCATCCTCTTCATCCCTTCCGCGGACAACTTCATTATGCATCATCCAGTTCAGCCAGACAACTCAGCCCCCCTGTGTTACCGCCTCGCTATGCATATTGCCACCGTTTGCTCTTTCACCGTCTTTCCTACTGATGTCATAGCAGTGTCGCTTCCAACAGTGAATCGTATATCATTGGAAGCTACTGATCTCCCCAGCATCATCGGTCAGGGGGCATGCAGCTCATCCCAAAAGGTGGCACCAGTAGCTGATGACGCCCAATGTGCCGAGTTGCCCGGTATCCCTTGAGCGGAGGCTGTGTGGCTTTGCCAAAAAGCGTGTCGGGCTCACGACGTGCTGTGCCTACTGTATACTAGACCAACAATCATCCACGCCAATACTCGAAAGTGGCGCCTTTCCCGCAGACTAAAATCTCTTTCGCCCGTCAGCGTACCTAATCGGTCGACGGAAAGCGGGGATAGCGAATGAATGAATCTGCCAGCACAGGTTGTCCCACAGTCTGACAGACCACACTTGACCTCACCTGCATAGGGATGGGATGGTTTCATGAGCGACTCCTTGTTGACATGGCTAAAGGAGATCCATTCGTTCCCGACGCTTGACGTCTGGCCACGATCGCCATGTTTCAGGGCTAGTGGGATTGATTCGTTGCCTGTTAACGCCCAATGTCTGAGCCCAGGCCCTGATAGGGCCACCATCCCCGGAGAGGCGCTGCCCGACCAGGTTTCCCATTGGGGTCTGTCTACTTTATATAGCCTCTCGAAAAATCTCTTCGCAACTCCCCCGATTCCTGGGGTGTGTACATCAGAAACTAACCTCTCCGTCGCTTAATACATAATTCTAGCCGCTCACAAAGGACCCCCAGGCCATCTGACTGTCTCATCTGCAAGTTGATTGACTGTTCTCTGTTCCATCTGGATCGCTCCCGTGCCAATTGCTGTTTGCCGAACGCTCTTGTGTGTGTCTGTGTGTGTCTGCTATTTTTTCTTGCTCATCCTTTCGAGACCCTTTCTCGAGTGAGTCCGATGCTCGACGGATATATGATGCCAACTGCCCGGAAAGTATTTCTGATCCACCGTGCCACCGCAGGATAGCCCCCAGGACCGATACTTTCCCGTTGGAGCTTTGCTTTTCTTTGCTAAAAGTTCTTTGTTCTTCTGTTTTTATTACCAAATGTATTCTACCACCAAGATGAGCTTGCGCTGGCGCAAGAAGACCCACTGGCCGCCGTCGCCATGTGTGGAAGACGAAGCTGTTTCCCTCTCCCGCGAATTACACGGATTGTCCCAAATTGGAGAAATGCCCGGACTCGAAGGTGTTTGCTCCCGCGGAACCGTCGACCAATACCCAGTCCTTGTGGATGTTTTCTCTTACTCTTCATATGAGGAGACGACCGTCATCTATGAGGACTTCAGCCGTGACAGCAGCTCCGAGGACAACGTAGGGCCGCCAACCCCGGTGGATGAGAAACAGGGCCCGATGCTCTACCTTGTCGGGGATGACCAGGCAGTCTCGTTGTCCGCGCCACTTGCAAGTCGAGAGAAACCCCAGGACCCATCCAAGAAACCAGCTGTTCAGAGGCAGGACTCTACGACGCGAGGCCGCCCCAGGGCGGATACTAGAGCCCAGAGAGACAGCCCGCCTAAGAGGGATACAGCCCAGAGTTCCCGGGATGCCTCGAGAGCTTCGAACATACGCACTCCTGCCGTCACACAAAGCAAGTCTACTCCATCGTTGCCCAGGCGATTTGGGAGTGTGAAACATGGCCGCTCCGCCGACGCCCTTACCACTAAATCCGGCTACCAGTCCGACTCGGCTACAGTCAAGTCCAAGACCAAGCCTGAACCTGTGAACAAACCTGCCGCGCCTCAAACGGACAAAAAGTCGCCCACTGGGCTCTCCGTGGCAGAAAGGCTGGAAGAGAAAATCCGCCAGAGACAAGAACTTCGTGCCAAGGGAGGCTCAAGCGATGTGCCGAAGACGCCTAGTCCCCCGTCTACTGATCAACCCAGTGTCCCGGTTGAACTTCCCGCGGAGCCATCCACGACCCCTGCTGTCACTGCAGCGCCCAAGAGCACCGCCCCAAAAACCCGTCCTAGGTCCACGTCGACGCCCAAGGAGCCAGCTACTGACCGCCGTGCGGATGAACATGAGGCGTCCTCCTCAGCTGCAGCCCCGGCACCACAACTTCCACCACGTCCGGGATTGGCCACTAAGCCAGCAGGCCGATCAATCTCAAGCGACAAACCTCAGTCAACCGCTCAGCTGCCAGCCCGGCGGGCCGTATCTTTCCTAGATGACGTGCCGCAGAGGTCCTCGTCGCTCCCACGGACTCCCGAGGATATTCCTGAGCCACCACCACTACCACGCCGACGGAGCTCCTCACAGGACGCTGTTCGCCATCGAAGTTCATCGCAGGATGCTGTCCGTCAGACATCGCCAAAACGGCCGTTTTTCCTCCCGCCCTGCCCCAGATCGACTCCCATCGCCGGATACCAGGACTGGCACACGGTCAAGGGACTACCCCATCTGAATATTTGCCCGTCATGCATGAAGCAAATGCGCAAGTCGGAGTTCCGCGACCACTTCGTCCTAGCCAGTCCCCGATCCCGTGGAGAGAAAATCCGCTGCTCCATGAGCGAGCCCTGGACCCGACTGGCATGGATGCAGACGCTCAAGAAGCAGCTAGACCACCTCGAACTGCTGCACCAAATCACGCGGCCACCCCTCAGCATCAAGCCGTGCCCGGGGCGCATCATCACCGAGCAGCACTGGTACCGGATTGTGGACCCGGAAACGAACATGTACCTCCCGCAGTTCAATGTGTGCTCTGCATGCGTGCGGAACCTACGGGTCCTGATGCCGCAGCACCGGGACACCTTCAAACGGAGCTCCACCAAACAGGAACGAGCCTGCGACTTTCTGACAGACAGCCCGCGGTTTGTCCGGTACATTGACTGCCTAGATATCGCGGCCAACCGCGCCGACCAGGAACATATGCTGCGCCCCGACGTGACCGAGTTCCTCTCGTACGCTCGACGCAAGGTAGTGCTGCGGGACTGTCGGCGGGACCGACGGATCCTCAGCACGTGGCACTACATGCCGCAACTGCCAGAGCTGACAGTGTGCGAGGACTGCTACGATGACGTGGTGTGGCCGTTGGTCCGGGCCAAACACCCCATTGCGCGCAAGTTCTCGACGTCAATGCGACTGCTCCCCGGCGACGGACCGTCTCGGTGCCGCGAAGCAAGCTGTCAGCTGTACTCCCCGCGCATGCGCGCCAAGTTCGCAGAGGCGGTACAGTCGAACGACCTGATGTATCTGAAGCAGGTGGCGCTGCGCCGGCGCGACGCCGAGCAACGCTACCGGGACCGCGAGGAGGAATTGCTGGAAGATGCGAGTCGAGGATACGACGTGGAGGGAGAGATGCGGCGCAACGTGGAGGAATGGAAGCGAAACGAGTAGTTCGATACCATGTATTTCTTTGTTCGTGTTTGTGTGTGTGTGTGTTTTTGTCAGGAACCCGCCTGTATGTTAGTGTTGATGATACCTGTACACCTGATATCCAATCCAGCCCATTCAATCAATCAATCATCCTCCTTCCCCCCATCAGTAGAACCACCATCATTAGCAGCATCAACAATCCCCATTGCCTCCCCCAACCCAACAAACCTAAACCCCCTCCCCTTCAAAACCGGCAACACCCTCCTCAACCCCTCCACCGTCCAACTCCTCCGATCATGCATCACAACAATACTCCCCTCCCTAACCAAACTCCTGACATGCCACGCATTCACCCCCGCCCACCCAATCTGCGCATCATGCGGATACACACTCCCAAGCACAATCCTATACCCGAGCCCCCTTACCAGCTCTCTCATCCACCCCGAAAAGAACCCCGATCCAGGTCTAAACCACTTCCGCACCACCCCCTTCCCATCCCTCGGCCGTTCCACCCCAACCTCCTCATACACCCTCGCAATCACCCCCTCCACCTCCTGCATCTCCTGCTCCAGCACCTCCCTCTCCAGGGACACAGACGGCTCGTCGTGCATCGCGTGGTTCGCAAGTTCCATCCCGCTCTTCACTAGCGTGTGGAGTATCCCCTCCCGGCCGGGGATCTGTGACCCGATGAGGAAGAATGTCGCCCGCGCGTTGTATTCTTGGAGTACGTGTAGGATGTCGAGGGTGTAGGCGCTGGGAGCGTCGTCGATGGTTAGGGCGATGAGTTTCTCTTTCGGTGCTTCTTTTCCTTCTGTATCTTTGTTCTTGTTGGTGTTGGGCAGTGGTGGTGGTGGTGGTATCTCCCATAATGTATCCGGGTACTTCTCTGCCATGGAGCGGATGAGGGCGTGCGGTGGTCGGTAGATTATGTATAGGGGTAGGAGGGCGAGGAGGATGAGGAGGATGATGAGCAATGGGAGGAGCATGGTTAGGGTGCGGGTGCGGCGGTGTCGGGAGCGGAGGTGTGGGATGCGTGCGATGAGGGTTGTGAATGGGATGGCGAGGACGCGGAGAGGGAAGAGGAAGAGGGAGGTTGGGTGGAGGCGGGGCATGCTTTGCTTTGCTTTGATTGTGCTTGGGGTGGTTATCTGGGTATGTGGTGTAGTTGGTGGTGAGGAGGATGTAGGTGTGCGGAGGTTAGTTGGGTGTGTTTGTGGTTGTTGTTGTGTGTAGTATTTGTGGGTGGGGGGTGGAAGGCCGGTGTAGCGAGTGGATGGTGTCAGGCCATGGTGAATATGTGTCGGTGGGAGAGATTGCAATGAGAGATAATGTGAATGTAATGTGTTCGACGATGTGATGTGGTGAGGAGGTTGAAATTGGGGAAATGTCAGGAGGCGGAGCGGAGGTATGCGGCGATCCCGTTGGAGCATGTCTGGTATGTATGTAAGGGATCTAGACCTTGCTGAGGTCAATGTACTTTGTCTTCTAGAAAAGTTTCGATATGCAATACAATATTCTGCCATAATGTCTGCTATGTAAATACTGGTATTATCCCACTAATCCCACCACCTCTCCAGGCCATTTCTTCCCCCATACAATCGCCCGCGGTGGCACGCGACCCCCAACCGGCGCCAGCACTCGGATCTTGCCCTTTTCCGCGTCCACGTCCGCTACATACAGGAAGCCCATGATGCTGGCATCGCGCACATCCGCCGGGCTGGCCGTCGAGCTTGCATGTGTGATGGCCAGCAGCGAATTGGCCAGCGCTGTCGGCGCAGGAGGTAGCACCTTCTTCAGTGGCACGTTGGACGACCCAGCCGGCGTCACCGTTTCCTTCACCGGTCCGGCAATCCCAGGCAGCGTCAGTGCTACCGGGGTCTCTTCCTGCGGAGTCTGTCCCAGATCCACGTCATTGCTCCCACCGGGGAGGAAGGCATCGCCGGTACCCAGCTGCGACGGGTCGTACTCATCTTCGTCCTCCTCTGTTGAGGCGATGGTATAGTTGTAGACCGCTAAAGCGCCAAAGTCCAGCTGCTGCGCATGCGGCGACAATGTAACATTCGTCGACGATGACGACGCTGACAGTGACAGCGCCGCAGATGCCGTCGAGGGAATTGGGTTGCCGAAAAAGTATGTCCGGATCTGCGACTCGCTGACAGCCTTCATGAACGCCGCATCGCGATCAACACAACCCCCGGACTTGGACAGCTTGATCACCGATATGCGCTCATCCGACGCCGCTGCAGACGCACTAGCCGTAGGCTTGTTATCAAAGTTCTTCATCATAATGCTGTACAGTCGCTCGGAGCCAATAACCAGAATCGTCGTAACTGTGTCAAACCTGTCAGCGCATACACCCTCACCAGGATCAAAGAAAAAACTCACTTGCAAACTCCGTCACAATATGATTAATCATCTCGACATTCCCAGCCTTACTCTGACTCAAAATCCCCGGCGTATCCACAATAATCCCCGTCTCTCTAGCATCCTCATCCTCGGCCATCCTCCCCGTCACCGACAGCGCCAACCTCGACACGATAGACTTATACACCGACCCATCGGCCTCCAACGGATTCTGCATCGGATAGAAGTACACCAAAGGCAATTTCACCGGCACCGCACTCGGCCCGGACATAGGACTACTCCCCCAGCCTTCCTCAACATCAATCATCGTCCGGAACGCCGTAGCCGTCAACGTCCCCGGAACACTCAACATTCCCTCCGTAGGATCCAAATTAACCACCAGCGGCTGCCGGCCCACCTTAGTCGCATACGCCGTCAAGATCTTCGAAAGACTCGTCTTGCCCGCATCTTCAGGTCCGAGGATCAGCACCCGTGGACCATCCTTCCCCGTCGCCTTGGCCTCCTGTCGTAGCGTCTCCAGCGCAAAATGCACGTTCGCATATTCAATCATCGGTGTTTCCTCCGCCACGTACTCGCTCTGGCAGCCGCCCGCGCCGAGTCCGCGCGTCGCTGTTCCATTCGTACCGCCTGGGGCGAGGCTGTCCAGGCCGGTGATGGCCTCTCCGGCGCTGACTTCTAGCGTGCATCCATGCCAGGTGTAGATTGCTGCTTTGGTGCCGGAGAAGGTGTAGGTTTGGGAGGGGGCTAGTTCGGTACCGAAGAGTTCGGCGGTTCCGGCTAAGAGCTAGTTCTCCAGGTGGTAGATATGTCAGTCAGCTGTCTCTTTTTGTGAATTGGGGGGATATGAAGATTGCTCGAGGAGAGGGGGGTTATGGTAGCTCACCTTTACGCGGACGGTCGTGCCAAAGGCGACTTCGAACCGCCACTCGGAGCCCTTGGAGAGGCTGATCTGAGAGGGCGGGGCGGGGGCGAACTCGCGGTCCGCCGAGGGTTGTGTTAGATCGAGACCGGGGAGCGACATGGCATCGCCTGGATAATTGGGTTCGTTATCTGGAGTGTGGTATGCGGACTGGAGTTTCTGGTAGAGCTCCGAACAGGCGGAGAGAATGACGATGTTTAGCCTGTTTGCAGGACGGAACCGTCCCGACTGGTTCGCGTTCGCAGGACATCTTACTATTATCTTAACTCATCTATATTATACTTTAAGTTGCTACACAGAATACCTACTATGGCAATGTTCAATTCATAGTTACTGCATATCCATCATTTGCAAATCTACCTAACAATGACATAACTCCGAACACAATCCAGTCAAACCATCCCGATTGCATCACGACTCCAGGGTGCAGCCCCGGTCCAAATGGTGTAGAACAGAAAATAGAAAAAGGAAAAGAAAACCACATTATAGAGGCGTATATCAGGTATCCAGGAGATAATAAGAAACGGCATAGATAATGAACGAAACGAACCCAAGGCTTTCCTCGATCGCCAGGACCTCACCGGCCAATCCCCCGTGCGAACCACATCACTCGCACCCAGACGGCATCATTAGTAAAGAAATATTCGCGGCCAATACGATACATCAAGAATCACTTCAATTGGGACTTAGGGATCGTGATGCGCTCGGGTGGATTGGCCAAAGCCTGAACTCGGATGAATTCCAGAGTAGGGGCAAATTGTGAACAGATAAGGAACAGCTTCGGCTGCTTCTCCATTAAGCATCGTTCAAAACCATAGCAGTTGGGGAATAAGGGGGAGATTTTCCAAGGGGGTGGAATCGATGGCGAATCTGTCCAGACTCGAGCTGGACGTGGGCAAGCCGACACGGCGCATAATCACGACAATTTTGCTTCCAGATTGGCTAGGGTGTTTAGAAGAAATACGGAATAGAGGCGCTGTAAAGCAGGTTAGCAAATATACTTTGAAGATCTGGCGCCATGCAAGACTTACGCAAGCGCAAAGGCAGCCGTAACGCCAACAAGAGCACGGTTCCGCACGCGCTCCTGCTTGAGCTTTTCCTCCAGAACCTTGGCCCTCTTCACACGGAGGGTCTTGGCTTCCTCATCTTCTTCCTCGTCATCGTCGCTGAGCACTTCCGTCTTGCGCTTCTGGGCTGCCTTGGCCGACGAGGGCTCTGCCGTCTCGGTCTGAAGCTTGACCGCCTCTTCTACCATTTCTTTCGCCTTGGCGATCATCTGCTCGGTATCGGCGGCAGACGGTGCCTCAGGAAGGCTGATAGGCATCTCAACGGAAACGGTGGTCTGGGAGGTTTTGGCCTCGTCAGCGGTCTCCGCGTTGGTCTCAACATCGACCTTGACCTTCTCACGCTCCTGCTCCTCCTTCTCCTCGGGCTCTTCCGCACGAGCAGCCGTCCTCTTCGCCTTGGATGCGGATGCCGGTTTCTTCGGGGTAGGAGCGGGCTTCTCGTCACCGTCCACTTCAACGCTCTGATGAACGGTGCCGGTGACCGATTCCGACTCCACGGTGGAAGCCGTCAACTCCAAAGAAGACTGAAGGTTGGCGTTGGCAGCACTAGTCGCCGCGGCGTTGGCCTCTTTCATGGCGCGAGTCTGGCGGGGCTTACGCGGGGAGGTCGACTTCTTGCTTGGAGAAGCAGACCGTCCCCTACGGAGGCGTGGTGCAGTGAGAATGGCCGGGGCTTCGATCGGCGGCAAATCAAACCGAGGTGGCGGGGTAATTTGCTTCTTCGCGGACGAGGGGCTTTGAACGATGTCGGTAGGATCGAGAAGGGCCCTAACCCAGTCGTACATTTGATACTCCTTTGCTAGCT